GCTTTACACTTTCCTTCCAGCTGTATTATTCAGTTGAGCAAATATCAGAAAGTTTAAAATATGTAAAGTACTGTGACGTTCAGTGTCCAGACAGTGTTGAGTAATGGGAAATAGGCTGGCCTCGAAACTAAACTGAATATGAAAACCTCCTTCCCTAGGGAGTGCTTGTCGCAGATTTAGGACTTACTGCTCCTGCTACTTTGAGTTATGGTTCTTGTTAATGTTGAAAAGTAAGCCTTGCGCTTCCCAGGAGAGGTTTTGCCTGTAGAGTCAGTGGTCTATGAGCAGTGCCTGTTTGGGGGGATGAAGTGCTAATTATGTTGTCTAACGATGTTGGGCTTATTTCCTCACCACAACTTACTTAAAAGTAAACGGAACTTTTTATCCCTCAACTTGCAAAGAGTCAATGAATTATTGTTTGCCAGCTTTGGATAGCATTTGCCAAGTTTGTAATATGTGGTTCTGGTTGTAATCCAGGAAGATGCTGGTCAGATTATGTAAATACTGATTAAGCCTATAGAATTACACTCAGAGGGTTTTATTTTTTTTTAACGAGAGTATCTTCCTAGTTAATGGAGCTTTCAAGGGTCTTTCCTCTGTGGGGATGGTTGAAGACTTTGTGCACCTAAAAGACAGTGGCTAATACTATTGTCCAATCTCTACCACATTTCAACAACTCTTTGAGTTACTAGGAATTTTTTTTTTTAATTCAAATGTCTTCTGTAGGTGGCATTCATGTAAAATGTATGTTGATTATTTCGTGCTTTAGAAATACTTGTTGGTTGCTCCATGATTTCGATAAAGCACAGTTTAATAGAAATTTTGGTGCTGAGGGAAGTGACTTCTGTCTGCAGTGTGGGGCATAGAAGCTGCTGTCCACACACGGTTGCTAAACGCTGGGTATGTGGCTGGTGCGACACATTCTTAATTTTATGTGATCCTCAGTATTTTAAATATGAATGTCAATAGCCCCATGGTTAAATAGGGGCTATCAAATTGGTTTATGCTGTCCATTTGTAGAGATTGTTCAGCTATATAAAGACGTCTGTTTCTGTGCGCTTAGGGTAGGGAATCGTATCATAAAAGTTGCTCAGCAAGCAGATTGTTGTGCACTGTTAAACAGCATGCTGTTCAGACACAGATAAAACTGGGATAAAATCTGAGCTCTTCTCACAGAGGTGCCTCTTGTGTGTTCTGCAAACGGTGGGCCGGACGGTCATCTTTCAGCAGATTAACTGAAAGAATATCTTTGGCTAGGCTCAATTGTTTGAAGATCTGCACTCCCTTTGTAAGAGAACAGGGAAAATTTGTGTTATGACAATGGCTGACAAAATGTTTAATGAAAGCTGCAATTGGCAGTAACTAGATTCCCTGAGGTTTCTTTCCTCTCTCTCTGCTACTGAAAGGTGCAGAAATACTTTTGACAGCATCTGTCCTGCTGACAGATGAATTGTTTTGACAGGAGAATCTGAAGCCTTCATCTGAAGATAACATTCAGATGTCAGGCCTGGTAAGGGGTGCATGGTGTTTGTAGAAATAAGTGAGATGCTTTAGATTTGTGTGCATGTCAGCTGCCACCTGAAAGAAAGGCCTCATTAAAGGTTTTTCACTGATTAACTCCTTCTTAGTCTTAAGATTTGATATGATCCCCTTCTCTGCAAGTGTAAATGTATTTCTCAATCCATGAGAAATGAATGCTGTAAGTGTGCATATAGTCAAGGGTTAAAGAAAGTATTATTTAAAAACCATGCTGGAAAAACTATGTCCATAAATACTACATTAAAAAAATACAATGTTTATGGCATTATAATAACAAAAGGTGGAAACAGTGCCCAACTGTTGTTGAATGGATAAGTGAAATATACATACTGTGGAATATTATTCAGCCCTAAAGAGGAAGGAATGAACCTTGATTATATTATGCTAAGTGAAGTAAGCAAGACACAAAAGGACAGATGCTGTATGGTTTCATGTATTTATACTTAGAAAACTAAGATTCCTCAAGACAGAGGGTAGAATGCAGCTTGTCAGACCTGGGGAAGAGGGAGATGGGGAGTTAGTGTTTACAGGGAACTGAGCTTCAGTTGCAGAAAAAATGAAAAAGTTCTAGGGATTGTTATACAACAATGAGACCATAATGCTACTCGGCTATGCAGTTACAAATGGTTAAGATGATTAGTTTTATGTTACAAGTATTTTACCACCATAAAAAGTATATTATGCTAGGAGTTTGTCTCCCAGACACAAGAAAGTAAGAAAATGTCTTTGAGGGTTTTATTTTACATTATGTATGTGACAGACAGTACAGTAAATATTGCCCCTTTTCCCCAGTAAAGCTCGGTTTTTGGGACTAGTCACTTTTCACAAATAAAGATGGGCATCTCTGTGTCCAAATGTAGAAGCTGTTCCAGGGGACCTGAGCTTCAATTCTGTCTGTGTGTATTGATAATAAGCACCTATAAAGGAGAATTTCTTTTGAGTCAGTCTGAGAACCATGGTGTGTTGATATGACTTTTCTAGTTCATTGAAAATAGGAAAGTCACTGCATCCAGACTGGTCCAAAGAAAGCTTGAGGTTCCACTTAAGGATATTTTCATCTTTATTGTTATTTACTGGAATCTCCCTGTTATTCCTGGTAACACTAGCTTCTTGATAAGACTAGCTTAGGGAAGACCCTTTTCTCAAGTAGCCTTTTCTTCAAAATCAGGACCTAAACATTTTTGAAGTGTAAATACATTTTGTCTGCTCTCTAAGGGAAAAGTGTACCAAGGGGTATAATGATTGAAAATGGTTTTCCTCTAACACTAAGTTTCTGAAGAATATGGACACTTGTGGGCTACAGTGAGGGGAGTGATTTTCTTGAAGATTGTTCAAAGCAAAGCTCCAGTTAATTGTCAGAGAGCTGACTCCTGTGAGCTCCAGCTCCTCTCAGGCTAAATATGTTAGTCAGAAATGAGTCCTTCACTGAACGTTGATCAGTGATCTTCAGGTAGATCGCTGGTGATCTTCAGGAAGGCCTTGCAAAGAGGTTCCCCCCAACCCATTCAAGATCACTTTTTTTTTTTTTTTTAAGAATTGGAGAGATTTAATTTAAGAATTCAAAGTTTGAGCTTCTCTTGAGAACTGAGAAGGTTGGTCTGCTCCACTCTCTGTGGAGGCAGAAGCAAGGGCTCCTTTAGTGGCAGTGGCAACAGGCTCTCAGCTTCATCCCACACCTGGCAGGTGTCATCTGCTTGATTGCCTTCTAGGTTCTTGGTTTTGTGGTTTCTAGGTCTTTTCTCTGATGTTACCTCCAGCTTAACAGCTCCCTGGTATATTAGTCACTATAAACTCATAGTGTCTGTCGATTCAGAAACAGTATTTCCTTTTTCCATGGTAATGTGCCCACAATAAAAGGAAAATTTTAACTTGTTTAGACTTTTCTCCAATGTAAGAAAATTCTAGGCCTACCCTGTCAATGTCAGTGTACCCAACCCCAAACAAGACAAGTTCACATTTGATTTCAGTATGTGTTTTAAAAAATTATCACCTTCAATTTTTATGGTCATATACTCTCTGGAAAAATTGCTTTTATTCAGGCTGTGCCATGAATGCAGATACACCATTAATTTCAAGTGTAGTTTGGCTTTTATTTAGATGAATGTCTTAAGAGTGGACTAGGGCTATGAGTTCTTGGTTATTATTGATTGTAAAGTCTCTGGAGGAAGTTTAAAAGGGAGCTGCCACTTTTGTGAGGTTGTGCTGCTGAAGAGTTAGGCTTTAAATTCATTATTTGTAGTCCTGTTAATTGACAGAAACATCAGTGAAATTAATTGCTGAGATTACAACTTAATCTCTAGAGGATACACAGACTGGGTGGATTTTGGGTGGTCCAGAGTAAGGGACAGTGCATGATGAGAAGTTAGTGCCTATTTACAACACACTTAATGTGGATTCTATTCCTGAAACTTGGAACAGGTCTGGGTTGAGAGGTGATCGAAGTCCAGCTGATTGAACACTTACCAGCTGGCTTCTAAAGGCTTCTGCCTTCAGAGCCAGAGCTGGGGAAATAAAGGAGGAAAAGATGTAATTCTGAACAATTGGGACAGATGCTGTCATCTCAGAGGTTGCTTACCTGTGATCTTCACTGCCTTTGGCCAACACCAACATGAATTACCTGTGAGCATGACTGCTCTCTCCTGTGTAACTGTCATTCCTAATGTTCATTTATGGTAGGAAAAAACTGTGTTTATAAATGATCGTATGATTAGACTCTCATACTGTTCTCTTTCTAAATAATGCTTTCAACATTGATTCTGCATCTGAGCAACTTTTATTGTTAAGTTCTTGCTTAGACCAGGCTTTCTCAACCTCTGAATGTTGTGTTGACACTCAGTGCTCGGCAACTGATAGTTGTTAAGAACTTTTCCTTATAACAGCATTATAGGATGTTGAGGATCATTCATTACGTTTACACACTAGATGCCAGTAGCAACCCACACCTCCCTACTCCCTTTTCTGTAGTTGTGACAACCAAAAATATTTCCACCTTGCCATATGTTATCTCTGGTTGACAGCCAGTGATTTTCACATGCAGGTCAGTTCCCCATTTTTTATTTTTCCTTTTCTCGGTGGTTTGTTGCTTTAGTGAAACACGAATCACAAAAAAATGCCTCTAAGGATGGCCTTGGATTTGATATGGTGCACGGCATTTGGACGAGCACCATAGGGAGTGAACTGGCTTACTTTAGACTTCCTTTAGACCTTGTTAAGGGGTTTAGCCAAACTCAAATGCATTGAGATTTTCACTGTGACTTCTTAATATGGACGCAGGTGGGGACAGGGTTATCTGTAAATCTCAGTATTAATGAGGTTAATTAAAATAAAGCATGAGATGGAACAATGATGAGGGTTTTGTGTGTGTGTGTGTGTGTGTGTGTGGGAAAGCATAAGATTCCTTACTTTTGGGTGCAATGCTGAGAGATGATTTAATTATCTTTTCCTTTTTGTTCTTTTACCAGAAACCTGAGTTATAACAAAATTTCTGAGATTGACCCTACTGACTTTGAGGACTTGCCAAATCTACAAGAAGTGTAAGTACTTCCCCCCAAACCTGTGGGGGTGGGCAGTGGGGGGCTCAGTTGCTCATATCAGGGAAATGCTCTCTTACTGCAGCATCTCTTTACCCTGGACCAGCAGTCTAAACTAATAGGGGAGAATATTGTGTCGAGGCCATAGTGACAATTAGGCTACTTATTTATCTGCCCTTCACCACAGCCCACTCTTCCTAGGCAGTCAGTGATGGTTGTATTACAGTTCAGTAGATGTGGTGTTATACATGGTGGGTGTCTCACTGGGGGACTAGCTGGAGGAGTCTCCCTGGTGGACCAGCTGGGGTAACCACCAGGCCAGTTAGTCCTTTCCCACAGTTCCCAAGGAGGTGGTGTAGCTTGTTCAGCAGGGGCATTGAGTGAGAAAATGGATTATCAGAGTCTTACCTTTCCCCTTCTGCCTGTAGTCAGAGCTGGGCATGAGTCTATGGAACTCAAGAGTTGCTACCTCTTGTAGTGTCCTTTAAATCAGGCCTTAGTCTTTTCTAGTTAATGTAAAGAATTCTGCTTTTAACATGGATATCGTGCAGTTTTAGCTCCAAAGGGATTTGACAGAAACTTAAGATAAGTGATGCATACTCACTGCAGAAAATTTGGAAATTGTAGAAGTATATAAAGACTAATTGAAAACACCAGGATTATCTCTCAAACATAAACATGAATACCTTATGAAAAATATATACCTATATACTCATAAATTTGGGATCAGCTAGTATATTGTTTCCTTCTTAGCCTTTTGAATATTTATCATGTAAATTAAAAATTTTTGAATTTTTTTTTGTAAAATTACTACATATTCCAGAAATCATTCACTGGTGCTTATGCTTTTAGATATTTTTATTGGATATATTTAGCTAAGTTATATTCACATTTGGTTAATATAACTGATGAGTTTTCGTTTATTTTTGGATTCCACTGTTGATGATTTATCTAAAGGAAATTGAATTTCATCAGCTCGTACAACTTGTAAAATATTTTCATTCCTTTCCCTCATTTCTAGATTCTTCAAATTGGCATTTATGACTTCCGTGTGTGTTATAAAAAGGTTAAAGCAGTATCAGAATTGGAAGAAACTCTCAGAAATGATAGTCGGAGCTGGGCATGATAGTTGGCATCATCAATTCTCATACTATTTACTTGAGTGCTTATTATGTGCCAGCACAGCTCTGGGTACCAGAGTGAATAAGAAATAAACACACCAGGGACTAGGGTGAGGCAAGTGAGGTGCTCAACTTAGGTGCAAAATTTAAGGAGTGTCAAATGGCAGGATGTTTTGCTGTATTATATGACAAAATCAAAATGAATGCCAAAAACCTTGTGGATAAAATGTAAAATGTTTAAATGGGGACAGGAAGGCAGAGTCAGTGTTCCTGATGTTTTCTCTTGCCTCAGGTTTCAGTATGGCTAGTACTCTCACTTATCCTGTTTGGATGTTAAACTTTGATTTTTTTTCCTCCTGGATTTTTTTTAATGTTCATTTAAAAAAAATGTTTCAAAAAATAACTGCATTAAAATAGTCTTTATCCTGGTCACCAAAATTTTTGGTCACCCCCATGAGTGCCATGCTCCTCCTCATACATCCTGGCCCTATAGGCCAACCTCTTCTCTCGCAGCTGTTATATCAAGATGGGGATGCTTGTGAATTAAACCAGGACACTGTGTATAGGACTGTGCGGATAAGTGTTAAGAATTTGGGAAAGTGTGCAAATTGAACAGGGTAGTGTGAGGATTTTTTTTTGGAGGGGCAGTCAGAACCAGGTTGGTCAGGGAGGTGATGTCTGAGTAGATGTGAGTGTGGTGGGTGATTCTGTACACAGGCCCTCAAGGGAGGGACAGGCTGGGGACCACCGGGCCCAGTTGTGAGGCCAGGGCTGGATGGGTCCTAGAGGGCTGAGTAGGCCGCCTTTGGTTCTTTGACCTCCCCACCCCCTGGGGGTGCTCCCATAAGCATTTTCATTTTCTTCTCCAGCCCTCTTTCCCCAGGTTTTCAGCTTTCATTTTCTTTGACTCCCTTGACCCTCAGCCCCTTGGGGAACTGACACACCACCGGATCTAAAACAGAGCCTCTCACTTCCACCTGTTCTTCAATGCCAGTGCTGGTAGTGAGCCCTAAAAATAAATTTCTCCCATAACAGTCACAGCAATCATAGCAACTCTGTGATAAACCTTTGGTGAATGCTGCTTCCTATACCACCAAACTTTGTGATAGAAATTCTTTACTTTACAACACCCTTTTCCCCATCTTATAGAGGAGAATGTTACATGGTAAATAAAGCTGAGAAGTGAATTCAAATCCTTTTGATTTTAAAATCTGTGTGTTTGACCCAATAGCTGCACTACACTAAGTTCCCACATCTTAACCTGCAACATTCCATTAAAGATTTTAATCAAGAAAATCCAGAATTTATCTCCTTATGTTGCTTTCTTACAGCGTTCTTTACCTTTTACATTCAGAATATTTCCTCTCATTTCTCCAGACGCCTTGTGCAGACCCATGCTAGCCTCTGATCAGCTTCCCTTCTCCCTCATACAATGGCTGGTCTCCTTCCGCAGAACTCCTGTTGCATTCAAGACAGGGGAATGTGCATCTTGTGCTATTTGCTGTTTTGTATGTGTCTTTGTGCCCTCCCTCCTGCCAGGGCACGCGCAGAGGTGGGCCTTAAGCAGCCATTGTGCTGAAAACCATTCTTACTGTCACTCGTGCAGGGTGGGAATGTGGGGAAGCTACTGAAGAAAGAAAAAAATCATAGTCAACACACAGTTGCTTCTAAATAAACTGGCTTGCGTGTTTCTCTGGAGCTGTAATTTCTCCTAAACCATGCAGAGCCACCCAAGTCTGGAAACTTAGCAAGAGGGGAACCACAGGCTGGCAGAGCAGCGGGTGGTGGTTTAGCCGTGGTTTTATTTTGGAGGCCTCGAACCACATAACATTGTGGGCTGGTTTGGAGGGAAAGTGAACCCATTGGAGGCTTGAGGTAGACAGGAGGACACTTGTGCAGCTGCTGCCAAGCCACACGGTCACTGCTGCCCACGATTCTGAGGAAAGCCCACCAGGCAGGGCCTCTAGCCAGAGGACCTGGCAGTGAGGCTCCTCTATTAATAAAGGGCTATTTATACCATTGCCTTTAAAAACTGTGCTCAGATCACGTTACTTCTGCCTGGCCCAAGCATGCTCAGTGTGGGTGCTGCCATGTGCTTTCCAGGGCCATTGACCTAAAATGTTCCTGAAGGCGGCAAGGAAACCTGAGTGTGCCCTGCCTGCAGGTATTTATGGCTCACTCTCCTCTGGGTGAGATTTATGCACCCCCCCCTTCCCCCACCCCCAATGTGTGGGAGGGAGAGCTTAAGGGAAGAGTAAAATTACAAGGGGTTGTCCTTTCAGTGTACCGCTTTTTGACTGAGCATTACCACCACCTGCTAAGCATTTACTCTATTATCTCACTCTATCCCGTTAGATTTAATTATTGCAGTGGGATTTTGCCAGAACCTGATGAAGTTGGTACTTGTATTATTTATAATTTTGGGATGAGGAAAGTAAGGCAACTAAGTAGTATGTGACAGGCCAAGGGCGTTCAGTTGTGATGGGCAGGATTGGGGTTGAAGGAAGCCAGGGATGACATTTAAAAATCCAAGTTCTGCTGTCCTGTGATCCCTGATTGTAACTGTGCCTCATTTCTTCTTTTAAGATGTGGTGATAATAGTTCCCTTCTCAAAGGGTTGACTTGTCGTTCATTAAGATGCTACATGTAAAGTTCTTAGCACAGATCCTAGAACATGGTCCATGTTCACATTTATTATTATTGTTTAAAATTGCTAACTTAAGCAACTTTATCCCATACTAGAATAACTATCAGGTTATTGGTAAGAAATTGTATCTCACAGAGCTTGCCTAAGTAATCATTCTCTATTCTCAGGTAGCTAGAAGCACTAGTACCAGTTATCAGTCAGGTGACCACAATACCAAAACCTGTTGGTGCTCGTCATACTGATGACTATCTGCTATTTAAATGTTAAAACAACTGAATTTCCAAGCCCCTGCCCAAACTTGGCCATTATAAATCACAGCTTCTTTGTGTTTGGAAATATCAAGATGCGTTGAAGTGGGAGGCTGACTAAATAAATGGTAGTTGCATCCTTGCCGCCCAGACCAGCAGAGGAGCACTCCACAGCTGGCTAAAAAAATGGTGGCATTCATCATAAAGGGGGAAACTGGTACAGAATGTTCTGTAGCACATGCGTCTGTGTGGAAGGAGATGCACGCACCTGTCATCATTGGTAGCAGAAGCTTCCTGTAGAGACAGACTAGAGGACTGAAGTATGGGGAGGTGTTAATTCTCACTCTCTATTCCTGGCATTCATTTTTTGAATACTAAACTGAATTCTTTCAGTTAGCAAGTTCTGTTGCATGCTTATATCAGATATTCAATAATAAATAATGATGCCCCCTCCCCCCCAAGTCCCAAAGTACTATTTGGCCCCAAGGTACTGGGGTTTGTTTTACATTGTTGAAGCCTGATTTGATGTTGTTAATACTCTAAAACATCCCTGTTAGTGTTTTGTATCTTACCCGATATAAAAGCTTCCTTTACCAAGCCTAGTAAGTGGACATTCTGGAGCGAGCTGAGGGCCCAGAAGACCCAAACTGATCTCACGGCTGAGGTGGGAACGGCCTCTCCAATTCTGCCCCGGGTCCTTGTAGCCTGGTTGCTTTACACATGACTCTTCATCATTCATGGCCTGATGCCTTTAAGGCACTTCTTGGTCCTGAATCATCAGGAAAAGTTTCAGTTAGAGAAGGCAGACATTTTGGAAGGATTTTTAGGAACTTGGATGAAAATAAATTTGGGGTGAGCCAGAAGGGAGGAAGATTTGACAACTCCAGATAACCAAAGATTTCATGCAACACTATCCTAAAATTTTAAGGTGTCCTTATTCTCAGGAACTGTGCTAAGCCTCCCTCAAGCCCTTTTTCTCGGGCCTCT